GAAACACTCAAAAGTACCGCTTTCAGCAATGAATCAAACGCTCTTCGCTAATGTCATCACATACAATTCATCAACTCCATTTGATTATGAAAATGATGCGATGTTAACACAAAACATCAACGAAAAACCAATGAACAAGCGAACCTAATCTTGCGGTATTTGGGTGCAATCATCATCATCGGTTTAGCTGCCGGGGCAGGTGCTTCAGTAGGAGCGCTCGACTCAGTAGGTTGTTTCGTCAATTCGGCCCATGAATCGAACGTTAACGGTTGTCCATCAATCGTATAATTACCTTAAATTTATAAAAAAAGTTTCATCCTATCCGTTTTATCCACAAACACAACTCTACTTTAATGAGAAAAGCTGAATGAGAAAAAGCTGCCCGCGTAAGAACGATGCGAACGAATTCAACAGATCAAGAGATCACAAACTCAAAAGCAAAAATACCATATTCATCTTCGTCAATGTCCACTTCACCCTCTTCTGTGACCAACTTCGATCGAGCTGCGTTCAGCATTGCACCCATACCCATCATCATCGCTAACGTACGCTTTTTCGCATCAGTCTGTTGGGAATATCGTTTAGGGTTCGACGATGATGACAGTGCCGATGGTGTATAATCGACTGCACTCAATATGTAAGCGTTCGGACGAGGCGCTGATTTCGTTTTTTGCACTTCAGGTTTCCACATTCTGAAATTCATCGTATACAAACACACATCAAAATCAAACATGCTGCAGCATAACACTAAACAATTTCGTACAATTACGATACTTCATTACTTATGATTGTAACTGCAATATGAATTTATGAAAGATGATGGATGCTCTGCAATATGCCAATACAATAAAAACTGATCGCCCATCAAAAAACATACACACAATGTGTGATAATCAAATAAATTTAACCAGTTGTTTAGAATGCGAAAATCTGAATTATTTCTGCAGTCGCTTAGTATGCGAAATAAATTAATAATCAGTAAAAATAATGACACCAATAACAATAATAATAATGATAATAAAATCAAAAGCGACAAAATAATGACAACAATACAATAAAAATAACCCAATAAGTTTATCAACGTGCTGTCTCAACCAATGATTTGGCAACGACCGTTGATGTAATTCCAAAATATTCAACAGTGCTGGTTTCAGCAAAAAATCCGGTATTCCTCTATGCTCCTGACTAACGTCGTCACATATTTTCCAGAGTTCATCAACCTCGCTCAGTTCACCCCAATTTATACGCGTTTCATCAATATACTAAAATTTTATTTCTACGATGCACAACTCATATGATACACTCGTTCAATTGATCGATGCTCAATTTCTAGACTTCCAAATAACAATCGCACAAACAATAACAACATCAAGCATAAGATTGTTCAACAACTTTCAATCTCAACACAAACCACGCATGATGTATTAATCGAGAGAGAAATAAAATTTATGCATTCCAAACAAACTCAAAGACAAAAAGATAACCAACCTTCTGAAGGTATTCACAGACATCCTCAACGGTCATTTCAGGCGCGGGTGTGAACTGAATGGACGCAGTGGATTGCTGAATTGATGGCGGTGGTGCATTGGTTGGATGAGAGTCAGTCGACATGACCACCGCATTATCACTACTCGATGGAATGTTTTGTGGCAGTGTTGTTGGGATTGGTGTTGAATGAGAAAATAGATTATTGTCAGCTGAACGAGGAGAAAGCAATGCGGTTTGGCTTGGTGACGCGTTCGATTGACGATTCGAACTGGACGACGAGGAGGGAACGCGTTGTGATGTTGACGGTGCAGCATATACGGCCTTTGCGGCTAATTTTTCACTGGCCTCTTTCATATAAGCCAAATACTCTTCAGCTGTTAGTAATCTGCAAAAAGTTGTTTTATTATCAGCATCACTTTATCATCACAATCAAAAAATGAATTGAATACGAACAAAATTAATTTGTCGTTAACATTCAAACACGCGACAAATTATCAATAGCATTACGAATATCAAATTAGAAGTTTTTCAAAAAAAAGATAAACGAAAAAAATTCAACAACAACAATAGCTTTAGGAAAGAAATAAAAATTCATTCATGGAACAATTCTAGACATTACGCTATCTTCAAGATGCTAACATATGCAAAAGAACTAACACCATGGTTGATTGCCGATCGCCTTCATCGATCTCAAAACCATCGGCCAATTCAATACGTGCATCATTCGCCTCATCAGCACTTCGGAACACAATCTCAAATTGCATAAATAGAATATATCCCCCCAAAACAACATCTTATTCAAACAATAATAATAACAATACTCTAACGTATATGACACAAAGACATTCTACGGGTTAATCGATGCGAAAGAAATAGANNATCAATAATGAAGCAGACGGCTGCACGGCTGCTGACGAGGATGATGCAAATGCATTATTTGATTGCTGATTCACGTCTGAATTGAATTCATTACATCCTGTTTGAATCATAACATAAGAAATATTCTACAACGCTGACTTTGTTCACCATGAAAGTGTTGCACAGATGATATGAGTTCGTCTCAAATTTCGCAATGAAAACGAAAAATCGCTATGACTGCAGTTCATTTCATTTAACAGTAGTAAGTGCACCGCAATTTTCCCGGATGGCAACCTCTCAATCCTCACTCATCTCAATAACAGCTGATCTCTAGATCTAACAGCAAATCACAAGAGAAAGCAACAAAAATATGGCCAATAACAGACAAATATATCAGGCAAAATGATAGTATCTAAGTCAGAAAATGAAACTTACAAAAATGTCTCGATGCCTGAAGCTTGAAGGGTGCACCATCGAGTGTCATTTTCTGCAGATTTCCAAACGCCATCTTTGCCTCTTCGGCATTTTCGAATACAACACTGACACCACCACTCTTTATACCACCTAATCAAAGCATCAGAATAATCAACACTTGAAATTACAAGCAAAATAGATGACTGAATTGAAACATTGTAAAAAACTGACGAATTAAACGAAAGTTGACTTCAGAAGACAGTAACGAACCTTTCTCAGCTTTGTCAAACCAAATATGGAACGATTCACTTTTGACGAATATTTCCATCAACCTCTCGTGATTCATCCATTTTCCGGGGAATGTCAATCCAACTATTCGGAATTTTCGCTTTGCATCATGTACCTCACGACTCTCGTTGAATGCTTTATCATCTACAAACATCGAAAAAATGGAGTGAAATGCATCCACCGAATGAGACAGAATATCGGTTTCACATCCAAAATCTGACAAAGAATGTAAATTAAAGGTATGTGAATTTACCAGAAAAAATTAACATTCGTTTCAGTCAAAATTTCTCATTAAAAATGATGGAAGTAATTCTACCAAGCGATGATGAACAAAATATGATGGACTGTGGACAAATGATATTGTAAGAAGAAAGAGAAACAAGAACGTAGACGAACTTTTACTTGGTTCAATATGATCACTCGATTTTTGAGCTGGATCGATGCCGTTCATTTCACCTTCTGATTCACGACAATTCGACGATGTTTGGACGGAAGTTATTTTTGTGGCATTGAATGAGTGCGATACATCAGAAGTGATAATACTGTTGCTGTTTGATGGAGATGCAGATGAAAGAACTTTAGATTCACTATTTGCGTGCGTCATTGTTGTTGTGGTGGTTGTAGTCGACGATGGTAGAGCGGAATTTGGACGATATTCATGAGACTGTGACTGTGATCGCGTGGATTCTCGTAACACGTCTTTTTGAACGGACACTGGGATATTTGATTCAACGTGACGACGATCGACAATTTCGGGCGAAGTCATTGAAGCGGAACTGCTTGCCGGGATCATCACATCATCAGAACACGGCTCAGCAGGATTGAGCATTTCGTTCGCAGCCACAACAACGTCACCGGATGACGAAACACAATTTTCATCAGTTGGATGATTGTTGTTCGGAGCCGGATTTGTTTGCTGCACCACTGAGGCGACCGGCTCACCGGGTGGAGTCATTGGACCTCGAAAAAGACTTGAAGACTTTAACGGATCAACTCTTTGCATAGCTTCAGAGCAATGATCTTTGAACGTGGATGTATCATCTATGTGCTGTTTTGGATCTGAGTTTAGATTGGCAGCAATAGGAGCAACATTAGTTCCAGTAGTGGTTGCCTCCATTAGTGTTTCAGCACGAGTCTGCAGATGAGATTCTGCATTCTGCCTTGCTGACGGCTGCAAAGCCGCACATCCCGATTCCATTGCACTATCAGAATTACTTGCATCAATAGGTGTTGTCGTATTATTAGGCATATTTACATCGTTAATGCTGATTTCATTCGATAGAGTATTCACTTCTAAAGGTTCAATTTCCATCAAACCTAAAAATCGACCATATTCATCATTAAATTTATAATATTACTCAATAATCGAACACATTTACCACTGAATATGTTGCACGAATCAATGGGAATCATTATCATTATTTTACCTTTGAGATTAAATACATTATCAAATCATTCACATAACATTCAAGCATTCAAGAGATTTTACTCACAATCAGTTATTGACTTCATTAAATTGAGTGTTCGATGTATTCAGAAAGGGAATCGATGGTAACAATAAGTAGTTGTGGCATTTTCTAGCACTGCGATCATGGGAGTACTTGTAAGGAACTATGTACATTGCAAAAGACTCTAACATCTTATATTCGCTGACTGCGAATGAATCAATGAAAGAAGGAATCTGTTACTCTTAATGACAATTTTTGGTTTTTCACAGCAACTAATGTTGACAATAAGGCTTAACTATAGATATGGTCAAGTCAACCAAATTCATATCGCAAAAAATCGTCAAACTTTATCAGCAGAACGCAAAAATATTGCATACAAACACAACGAACGGAAGGACATATTAATGCAGTAAGTGAAATCTACATAGATGCTCCACACAACGTTTGTAAATATTGAATTTCAGTGGCTACAACTGCCCGAAATTTCGCAAATTAAATGAGACGAATGGGATAAAGATTGAAAAGTGACGATGTGGCAATGCACTGACTAGGTACAGCAAGAGATCAAAAACCTAACAATAAATTTAAAATGCTTTGGAAAGTGAAATCTATTGTAAGGGTAATAAAGGATTGTGGATACCATTGAAAAAATGACACTTATCGTTAGTAATTTTTCAAAACTATGACTCGAAGGCACATCTTCAACATGAATGAACATAACGGATAGTTTAGCGAAAAACTGAATAAAAAGAACCAAAATTAAAACGAAACCAAATGCACGTTTCATATCAGACTCTCGGTTTTTTCGCTGGCTTCCGAGAAAAATCGCACAAGGAGATACGTACACGTACATAGAGAAGGCACGATTTCCAAATTCATATTTGCTTGTAAAAGTCATTTAAGTTCACTTCAAATTACATCAGATTGAGTAATATATGATTCAAATTATTCAAATAATGCTGCATCAAGTGCTTATGTATTACCTGCTGTGAGAATGTGAATCAATAAGTAATTCTTTCATGCCTTTCCCAACCTAATTGATTTGGCAACTAATATATTTTTTCTAAAACAAATAATATATCAGCTTAATTTCAGTAAACGAATACGAGTAAAAATGAACCGAAAAAGAAATTGGCAACGAGCGCTGGAAATTTCGCCTCGACGAATATTAACGATGCCTTTGATTGAAGAGTCACTATTCGAACAGATGACAAACAAAGCAGCGCACAACATTCAATCCAATGTACTCGTTGTCAGTTCCTTCAGCTCCTTCCACACCTCAACTTTATGCTTTGAGGCTCACTTCATCAGAGTATCAACTGCCTCCATTGTTCCACTATTGTAAAATCCCATTACGCTATTATGAGTTTCGAACCGAATTCTGTTTTCCACAGTTTTATCACTCCACATTCTCAGAAATGCTGACCTGAATTAACCGCGAACCATCAAGATCTGATCATCCTCTCATACGGTTTGAAGCCAGAAACGTTGTTCGAGGTGTCAGTAGTAGACCCAATCCGTAATAGAAAGCACAAATAACACTGAGTCAGTCCATTATACTGATGCATGTCACCATCAAAATCCATTCGACGTAACCTTTCACATGAGAATTCAACAAAATTAATTGTTCACTTCAAAATCAAAATCTCGTTTCTAAAAGTTTCCTTACTTCCTCAGTACTGCGCACAAGAATGTTACCACCGTGTCCACACATCAATAGAATCACCTCAGTGATGAACTTCCACTACCATACTAATTCAATTGTCATTTTTTAAAATTAATAATAATTTTTAATAATAATTTGTAACGTATCCGTTCAAACCATCATTCCAAATCACACATAAGATTGTTCGGAAATCGCTATCATTTGCCTTTCCGTAAAATATAACCTCTCTCAAAAGAGTGAGATTTCATCAAAATGAGTCTCAACTGAATGCATCAGAGACCTTATAACCCATGTAGGTCTCGAATTTGTAGAAAATGAGAAAAAGAAAATAATTCAGCAGTACTCTAGTAATTATCGACAAACAACAGAAAACATCCTATTCTGATTTAAATGCGAACTAATTGAAAACTTTAAAACCTGAAAAAAAAATGCAAATGCAAATTTGAATTCCCAATCTAGCGGGATTCTATAGCCCGGGTGCATTTTACAGATTACCGAGCATTGTACCATGTGTTACTACATTGTTCGGCTTTCTCATTTTTTGAATTCAAAACGGGAAATGTGGTTTTCTTAGTCACTTTAATTGTTATTTCCATGAAAAGGATGGTATAAATGCTGGACGTTTTTCCGAACCGCATTTCAGATGTGACACGAAGTTGCATGCGTATTTATTCATCTAGTCTTTATTTATTTACAGTTGGTAAATCATTGTTTGATTACTTGAGAACTAGTTGTTTGTGAAAAATCGAGATGTGATGACTTTTCACATAGACTTCGCCCTTTAACTGAGGTTGCGGTGTTTTAGTTGGGCACATTCTTCGATAAAAAGTGAATGAAGAAGCAATTTAGTGTGAGACTGAACAGAAACCTGAACTATCGCACGAGTTGTTCTCATATCATAATCACGGTAGTTCAAGATTGTTACTGATTGTGATCTCATTAAGGCTTCTGCAGGCAATTCATTATGATGAGTCGTAAGAGGAGAAGCAGTGAAGATGGTGTCCAAGGAACAATCAAAAAATCTAAGAGGGAGTCATCGCAGGAAAGTATGTTCTAGAGATGTTTCATTTATTCATATTTGTATATGTATCCGGCGGTTTTTCACGCCATTTTGAACAATTTTACGGTTTCATACAAAAACATCTGCATTTCGCAAACATATCTCATGTTTTAGCGACTCGGGTTCCAGCCGTGCCAGGTCGAGTCATATCCATCGAGCTAGAGAACTTCATGTGTCACAAAAGCATGAAGATGGATTTAGATGTATTTCATAATAATTGTTTTTTCATCGGTGGTCGCAATGGATGTAAGCAGTGTTCTTATTCACCGTTATATTCTTTCCTTATTCATTGTTATATTATTTATATCGTTAGGTTTTTTCAGTTGTTTTCTCTTTTTCAACTTTGAACGGCCCAAACCGCAAATATTACTGCCCTTAGCACTGTCGCTATCGTGATTATAATAATTTATTATTATAGCTGGCAAAAGTGCAGTGTTGGCAGCGCTGAATATCGGACTTGGAGGTCAGAGCAGTATGAGCGATCGCGGAAATGCAGTCAAAGAATACATCAAGCATGGCACTCGGTTAGTTATCTCTATTTCGTTTGATAGTATTTGTGGCAGTTCTTTAAATGATTGTGCAGATTTATTCACTAATATCATTTACTGAGACGGTTGTTTATTAATGTTGTTTTCACAGTTCAGTGACTGCTTTTACCAAGTATCATTGCCATAAATGATTGTTTTTATTACTGTTATTAATAGCAGTGATATTCACCATTCACAAGTGTCAGTATTGACATCTCATTAATATTATTCTGATCATCACAGAAATGCAAAAGTTGTCGTCAAACTGTCGAATACTGGAGTAGGATCGCATTGTAATTATGGTGAGTACATTAAGATCGAGCGTTCGTTCACTGCCGATTCATCGTCGTATAAAATCAAGACGACGAAAGATGGAAAAGGTGAGTTGCTTGTGATTCGATTATGATTACTCCATTGAAGTGTCTTATTATCAAGTGGTATTGAATGATAGCAGAAGTGCAATCACACATCTATAAAANTGCAACAATAATGATGATAGTAATGTTAGGAATGATAGTAAATATTATTATTGTTATTATTATCATTGATGTTGTTGTTTTGAGCAGTATTGTTTTGATTGCCATTGATCGAAACAATTTTAGGTATTCATAACAGCCACCGGTCTTGATGTTTTAGTTGCAAAATATCGCCATCATAAAGAAGTTCTGAATGTTTTGACTCAGAAAGTCGATGAATCTCGTCAACTTGTCAAACAGTTGGAAAGGTTATTTTTATTGCTATTGTTTTATCATGGCCAGGATTAAGAACTGCATGCATATATTCAGGAAATTTTATTAATTACGATGTTTTATTTAGTGACTATATGCTAACAAAATTGCGATTCACTCAGACCGAATCGATGAATAAATTACTGAAAGAAATCGCAGAGATTGAATGGATAAAGTGTTGGTTGCCGTATAGGGACACAATGATGGTTTGTTTATTGCTATTGGTTATTGCGTGTTTATTATTCGTTATTGTCTTCATTTGTTCGTGTCTGTTACAAAATCTATCAGTTCGCTGTGATCTCGTATTCTTATAATATAGTTTATGTTTTAGGAGATGAAGAATGCTGGAGAGTTTGTGGCAAAAGTTGACGCGAAGAAGGAAAAACGATTAGCTTCGAAACAAAAGAAAACGGTTTCCTTTTTTGTTTGTCAACAATACACTTCGTGTTATTGTAATTTGTTGTTATGCTATCGCTGTCAGCACTTTCCTTATTTTTTCATTATTCGATGATGCTATCTGCTTGTTATTCCAGCAAATGAAAGATGAACTGCTAACGAAGAATGCAGCGATGCGCGCTCAACAGATCACAGCTCGTCAAGAAATTGAAAAATATGAAGCTGAGGTTCACTTTACAATTGAATTAGTTTTGTATAATAATGATGTGGATAGTGACAGTAAGAACAATCATATTGAAAATACTCTGATTTTTAATAGATGACGTTAGATGATTGTGGGTGAAGATGCATTATAGAGCGATAATATCAAATTGATTCATATCAGTCATCGATAACAGCTAGTGATATGATTAAATGATTGTGGTGATGGACGATATAATATGATTGAATCTGTCATTGAAGGAGGGTGAGAAGAGGGAAGAATACGAAACATGCAAAACATCATTAAAAAAGATGTGCGAGGAGTGTCACAAGAAAAAATTGGAATTAAACAATACACTCAACGATATACAGTCGTTCACCAAAATGGTTGATGATATCAATAAAAAGTTTGTTTATCAATATTAATAACTTCATCATCGTTACGTTTACTATAATTCTTCGTACTCACCAGTATAAAATTTCAGGAAAATGGAGCAAGAGTCGGGCCGTAAAGAGGCGAAGTTACGAGAGAGGATTTCAAAATTGAACGAAGAATTAGAAGAAAATAAAGCGAATCGTGTGAAACTTGAAGAACAGGATAAAAAATTGAACGAGAATATCGTTGATGCCGAGAAAAAATTATCAGATAGGAGGTTTGTAAATTCAAAGTTTTCGTCGTTGATTTGATGTTTAATGCTGTTGTTGCTTATGGTTCTATTTTTTTCGTTTCCGATGCAACTATTCATTGCAGAGGCGAATTAATGGAAAATGAGGAGAAGATGCGGCTGTTGAAGCACAAAAAGGAACGTGTCGATAGTATGAAACTGAATGAAATCTCAAAATTTGGTAAATTTATGCCGAATATTTTGGCGCTGATTGAGAAATATCAAAAACAGTTCACTGCAAAACCGATCGGGCCATTAGGTTATTCTTTTTAACATTCTTATTAGTATTATTATGGCTGTTTTTGACTGTTACCAAGCGATGCTTATGCTATATTTGTGCGCTTACACGATATTGTTGATGTTATTGCTACCGTTTTTGCATTCTTTGTTATTGTTCAAGGTAAATATGTTCGCATAAAGAATGCACCATATGAGGCGGCAATCGAACAGCAACTGCGATCAGTATTATCAGCATTCATTGTCAATAATCATCGTGATTTCGTAATGTTTAAAAGGATATTAAGGGATCATAATCTGAGGTGCTCCAACATATTCACTTCAAGGCAAGTTTTGTGTTATTATTAATCTTACGCTTCTATTAGGAGCACCATTGGTAATAACGTAATAATATGAATTGAAAAAATGGAACCGGCTTGGAATTGCAGGTTTACGAGCGAACGTTATAAAACGTCATGGAACGAGCCATCCGGCGAATATCAAACAATATTACGTTCGATCGAAATTGACGATGCGAACGTTCACAATTTGCTGATTGATCAACTTAAAATTGAACAAATTCTGTTGTTGGAAAGCGATGAAATGGCGAGGGAGTTGATGTCGAACAGGGTTGGTCTTCACCGTTATTACTTTCAGTATTATTACCATTAATGTGTAGTGCGTTCGCATAGTTCCGATTACAGTTATTGCTGTGGTTGTAATCAGTTGTTGTTGTTTGTATGGCCACCATTATTCTGTGGAATGTTTGCAGCCTCCGAATAATGTGCGCAGAGCGATAACAATGAGCGGTGGTGAAGCGATAGCGGCCAAAAAGAATCAAATTTATCGTTTCTATGCGGGTAATATTTCGTCGAGTGAATTGAGGATTCTGTCACAGACGCAATCAATTGACACACAGTGCGTTGTGGTTTGTTGGTGTCGTTGTTCTGCTTTCTCATCTGTTATATCTCCGTGTGATAATTGTTGCAATATCTATTGTTTTGGTTATATATTTACGATTGTAAGTATAAACAATTACAGACAACTGCAAGCCGAGTTCATGGAGGCACAGAAATCACTGGCGCGATGTCGATCCGGCTACGATGAAGTGAGTGTTCATGAGCTTTTTTACTTATTTTTATTATTCGTTGGATTTCTTTAAGAATTTCGCAAACGATTCCTGATAAGAATGAAATGTTCATTTTAAAAAAAATTCCAGTTGACATTTCAAGAAAGAGATCGAACTTTCAGTCAGCAATAAATATGCACTGACTTTTCTTAATATTCAGGCCAAAGAGCAGTATCAAAACGCTCGAAGAGATGCACAGATGTCAACGAAACGAATCGAAAAAATATCTGAGTTGATAGGAAATCTGGAACTGGAAAAGAGCAAAAGAGAGAAAGAATTGGATTTATTACAGCTGGAGACTGGTGACGATAAACAGCTTGAGGCACTAGTACGCGAGTTTGAAGTGTTATTTTGTGTCTGCAGAATTTTTTTGATTTGCTCGTCGAATGTTACCGCTGTATGGCTGTAATCATTGTCATTAACATTTTATTGTTGTTGACGTAATCAGTCGTTATCGAATTGAAACGTTGATAGACAATCAGTCAAACGATTCTGTTTCAGAGGCAAACGATCCAAGAGTATCGTGTAAAAGAGCAAGAGCAGCGAGAAGAAATAGAAAGAGGAGTGGCGAGAAGAGAGGAAATGACGACGGATTGTAAAAAATTACGAGAGAATGTCAAGAAAATGCAGAAAAAGGTGGAGCAACTGAAAGAGAACTTCGACACACTAAAGGTTTCCATGTGTATTTGTTTTTTAAATTATGTTTGCAATAGTCTGTGATCTGTAAAGGTTGACTGTAAGGTGGTGTGCTAGGAAGACGGTGTTCTTGCGAGGAAAGAGGGGATTATTTTATTACACGTTCATCGTTTTTTGAAGAGAAATGTTTCTTATGCCTTTTCTTTAAAGTTGTGCGAAATTTTTAGTTGTGTGAAACTTTGGCAGGTGAATGGTGATTTATAATTTTGTTTCGTTTTGAGAAAAGAGCTGTCAATAAATGTTAATCGCTCAGCTGTGGGAAGAAGAAGAGCCATTTGTTGTTGTTTGATCGCCTTAGTTCAGGAAGAATTTCGAGAAGTGACGGCAGAAATGGAAAGTGTGGAGAGTGAACTAAATCAGATCGAAAGAGATCTGCAGCAGCTGGACGCGAAACGCAAAGAGTTTGAGGATGATCTGCAGCGAGCAAGTTGAGTTTTTATGATGTGTTTTTTGAAATCGCAGTAACTTGGATTTTGGAAGAGATGAATGATAGTATAGCAGTAATACTGATAAAGAATTGAAATGGAAACTTCAGCCGTAAATATTCGAAGATAATGGCAACGATAGCGATGCAGATTATAGCCATAATATATTGGTTGGTTCTGTTTCAGATCACGTGCAGAAGAGAGAAGGAACAACGCTGAACAAAACTGTGCACGTTTCGAGCGTCCCGTTCAATTCGACGAATTTCCGGATTTGGATAAATTACCGCAGTCGAGCGATTTAGAGAGCGCATTGGTATCGCTGAAGAATAAAGTGGACGCCATCCGACAGAGGTTAAATCATTCGCGCTACTCTATCTTCTCATAATCTTCGTCATTTGCTCTCTCATTCACTCTTAAATGCAATCAACCAACCACTCATCGGTTTTTCCTGTTTACCTGCATATGAACAAATCTTCGATAGAGGGTGTTATTTAGGAGAATTCTTAACAGATCGGAATTTTGGTCATC